TTAGCCCAGCTTTGCTCTGCTGGCAACTGCAAATCCCAGAGCAGAAGTAGGTTAGAAGCTGCTGTTTCGATTCTGTGGGGATTACTGTCTGCTTTTGCGATCTCAGTGTGAAGGCTCATCAGCACATAACTAACAATATATAGCCTAAAGAAGTTGTGCTTGGTCTTTGACAGGTTGGCTGAACACCAGCCTGCTGAACATTGAGATAACCCATGGTTTTAAGCAGTCACATATCATTAACTCACAAAGCTTTCACGTTTCCACATAATTCTGAATGAAAAGGATTCACATATCTGCATTATAAAGTAAATATGAAGTAAATCTCAGTTGCAGAGATATCACAGAGTAAGAAGGCACTCGTTTGAAATATATATGTATATTCATTTCTCCATTTGAAATTTTTCTGCCACCCCAGCCTTGAAGGGCCCCAGATAATATTGATATTGGGTAAATGATCCAAGCCTCATTGTGTATTAGGCAAAAATAACCAACTGTGTCACAAATATAGCATATAGGATTAGAATTTTCTCTTGACTACAAGTGTATGAAATTAAAGCAAGAGAGGACAGTTCTTTCTATTCTGAGATGGGAAATTCATGTAACTAAAGCATATGCCTTAAAGTAAGAGACAAAGAGGAAGGACAATCTGGAGTCCCAAGATTTTTGATTAGTTTTTTAAAAAAATAAGTAGCAGCCTGTCTATTTAATATAATTCTGCCTAGAATGACAGCAGATTTAGCCAAACAGCAGTACTTGTAAATTGTATAGTAATAACAGTGTACACATTCTCTATGACTGTGAAGCATATGGAAATAAAATACTACTTTGTCTCTGTGTTACTTTCACTGTCTTTTCACAAGCAGCAATTAAACCTAACTTCCTCAAAATGTGGTCATGAGGATTAGTTACAAACCCTTAGCTGGCTGAAGTATAGTGTTTCATCTGTCCCCTAACAGGAGACATGACACAAGGTGGCACTTTTGGTTCATTTCAAGGAGAAGTTCCTTATCCATCTGGCTAATTGTGCAATTGCAAACATAGTAGAAAATTGGCTGAGTTTCCCCAATAAGATTTGGCTAGTTATACAGTATGCTACAGGCAACATGGGTGTCTGTTTATCATGCCCTAATCCCAAACTTGTCCAGGCAAATGCATACTTTATTTACTTAGACAAGTCTGATAATGATATTCTAAAGCTTTCTCATTTGAAAATGAGAAGTGATAGGGTTTTTATGCTAATAGGATACTTGGTTGTGTGCTTGCAGATGTTCCATTACCCAACTAGGTAACATCAGTTGATTGAGTGTTCTGAGGAAACAAACAGACCGGCAAATATCCTTTCCAGCAGCCAGATATCACGCAGAAAATCAGGGATTAACACCAGACAATTGATCATAAAATGATACCAAGGAATTACTAAGGAGAAAACACCATCCACCAAAACCTGGCAGGGCAAGCTTTTGTATAAAAACTGGAATCAAACCTCACACTCACTTGCACTGATGTTACCTAATCAAAAAGCACCAGAGACTCCACAGTTCAACCCTGAACTACATACATTCTATTTTACCTTATGCTAAGTCAGGTGTTTTGGTTTTTTTTAACCCGCAGACAGTATTTTGGCTTTTAAACAACTGAGCCCAAAGATTGGAGAAAAAGAGCATGCTGAAAAGATGTAATGCATAAAAGAAAGTAGTTCTATTTAGATGACCATGCTGTACAAGGTACTAATGCAGCAAGGTACAAAAAAGCATATTCTTCTTTTTTGAATTTTAGGTTGTACTACGTTGAATACAAGCCAGAGAAGGATATTGTATCTTGTTTGCTTTTATTAATTTTGCAGTAAGTTATCTAGGGCATGCTAGCTGCGGAGCATAATAGAGGCTGCTGTTTAAAACATTTAGCTTCATTTTACTTCTTCTGTTCAATGAAAAAGGATACTGTTACTGTAAATATTTTTAATGGAGAGCATCAGTCATATTTATTTAACTCTTCAGAATCATGGATACTTTCTTAAACTTCTTTTTTCAAGTGTACTATGACTTTTGCTTTGAGGGGGGAGGTAGTGGTGGCGGCTGCTACTGTGTCTTTCTCCCTCTCTTTCTCACCTGTTGCAAATAGGAAGAGAAGGAAGAAATGTTAGTCTACGTAAAATAGGCAAATAGTGAAAAATGCCATACCACCAGCCATTCCATTTTCTCTTTGTTCCAACCAACTTACATTTCCTCCATGCTGTTGTGCTTATCTGCAGACTGGATTACATTACAACCAATTTTGTTGTATTTATTTTGTATAATGACAATAAAGACTATACTACATAGTGTTAGTTACTGTATAATCTTCCAAGACCGAAGGTTAGTCTTCAATTGCAACTAATCTTTATTCAGTCTCTGCTAGCCAATAGTTAAATACCCAAACACCAGCCAAACAACAGTAACTTTCTCTGCATCAAGCTTACTTAATACAGAGTTTACTGTTCCCACCAAAAGGTTCTCATGCTTCATGAATGAAAAGTTATTCCACCTTTCTTCAAAAATAAATAAAAATGCTTCTGTTATGTCCTCCACAGACAAAGCCATATGAGAGACAGACAGACAGACAGACAGACTATGGTGGCAGATCAGTAGATTGTCTGTTGTGGCATTTGCCCTCTGGAATGAGTTCCCCTGAAATCCATATGGCTTCACCTTGATGGTGTTCTGAAACTTCTTAAACTTCTTGCTGTTTTCCCAGGCCTTAGGCTAGGGTGATGAGGACCCTTTGTGTCTGTGTGTATTGCATTTCTGTGTTTGATGCAACCTCCTATCCTGTTCATTATTTATTGAAAAAGTTGTTGTTGTTTTTTGTATTGTGAACTGACCAGAGTTTGTATGCAACTGGACAGTGCTGGAATTGATAAATAATTGAACAATACATAATCTCAGCAAATCCAGAACGTGTCAGTAAACCCTTTGTATGTCAGCAAAATTGCATTTGAGGGCTTCTCCAAAGCAAGAAACAGACACTAGGATCTGAGTGAAATGCAAGCTAGGAAGTGGCAGCCAGTGTGTGTAATGAAAAAAAAAATTGCATCCGAATACAGGATGAATTTACTGGCGTATTCATTTCACTTGTGGCTTACGAAAGGAAGAAAACAGATCTGGTTTTTCAGCCTCGACAAAGACCTAGAATTTGTAGGTGTTTCATATCACATCAGTGCTGCCTCACTATCAGCAACCTACAATGGTCAGGAATATCTATAAGAGGAATAGGGAATAATTACGTGGTAGCATTCAGTTGTACAAATATTACAGTATGCATTTAGCCTTGCAGGTTTTGTAAGAGTACAACTTGCAGTATATATCATATCAAGTCATTAATTATTAAAATCTGTTCATCAAACAGAGGAGGAAAATATATCTGATATGAATGTTTTGTCTTCTATGGTTTGTGAATCTGAAACATTGAAATTCAGTTTCTGAAATGATTATTGACATCAGGAAAATGAAACAGCAGCAGCTGACAAAGTCTGACAAGAGAAAAGGCAGAAATTTAAAGTATTGGAAGCAGAAGAGAATGCCAAGAGGCTTAGATGATGATAAATGTTACTATTAGTAATAGTATTTTATTCTATTCCCTCTAATATCAATTTAAAATCTGATCATTGGTGATAATAGATTTTTCTGCTCAGCTACAGNTAGTTTGGAGAACTGGTAAATACCACCTCTGGCTGGCCCCGCCCCCATCTATTCGCTGCCTCCCAAGTCCCAGCTGATTGGGAGGAAATGAGGATTTTGCAGTATCCTTCCCCTGGAGTGGGGAGGGAATGGTGATTTTACAGTATCCTTCCCCTGCCACACCCACCAAGCCACACCCTACCAAGTCATGCCACGCCCACCAAACCATGCCCACAGAACAGGTAATAAAAATTTTTGAATCCCACCACTGATCTGCAAGAAAATAAGCAAGCTGAGAGAGCACCAAAGACCCCTCATTTCAAACTAGAGCTGCAGATATTCTCCTTTATTGGTAGATAAACATAGTTTGTACCAGTACGGGGGAGAATTAAAAGTCCTCAGTTTAAATCCTGAAAGGAAATCCCTTCTAATCTCCTGCAGATCAAAGGAAAGAGTCGAGATGTCTAAGAAATCAGGATCTGGAACCAACCACCGGAGAAGTTGCACGGGGATCTCAAATATCTGCTCGCTGCTTGCTGCAATTTTTGATTAAACCAGTTGACAATGCCACCAAAATTTTCTTTTTCTTTTGTCCTGCCTCCTCCTCATCTTTTTGTCTTAATTATGACAAAATCTCAGCTTTATATACTATAACTATTCTCCTAGTAATAATTTATAATACACAAACCTTCAAGGTGATGCTGCTTTTTTTCAAATGAAAACGAAGTACATTTTACAGTGTGATTCCATGCATATCTAACATCATCAATGAGACTGACTCCCTGGTTAAATATATACAGGATAGCAACTATAATCCCAAATGGATCTACAGAAGAAGCGAGGTCCTCGGATTACATGTTTAAGATGACATTATGTTTTATAACATAAGGAAAGTGTTATTTTAAGAATCATACATAAAGGTAAAGGTTTCCATTTTCCAGTCCTGTCTGACTCTAGTGGAGCTCATCTCTGTTTCTTAGCCGAGAGAACCATGATTGTCCAAAGACATTTTCGTAGTCATTTGATGGCATGGCTACATGCCAAGGTGCACATAACACTGTTACATTCCCACTGAAATGGTACCCATTTATCTACTCGCATTTGCATGCATTCAAACTGCTAGATGGGCAGGAGCTGGGGCAAGCAATGGGAGCTCACCTTGTCAGGAAGCACTTGGGTCGCGAACCAGGGCTGTCAGCATTCCAGATGACAAGCTCAACATCTATAACCACTGAGCCGTTGCGCCCATTAAGAATCAAGCATAGTATGAACTAATCTGTGTCGGAAAGAGCACTGAAAAGTTTTAGGTCTTTGCAGCCAATTAAAAAAAAAAAACCCACTTACTTGAATTGGCTCGGCAATAAATGCAGCGACTTTGTTTGGAACACAAGTTTGGAGTGTGTCCTTGAATTGCGCAATGTACTGGTCTTTAGCGTGGCAGGATCCTGTATTGGGGGAGCAACATGTTTATTATTTTAAGGCTGTTATTTATGAAAGAAACATCATGGCCCTGTTTATCATCTAAAATGCCAAAAGGCATTTCCCCAATTGGCTCACTGTAGCATGAAGTTAACTTTGCTACATCCTTTTTTTGGTCAAATCAAATGATGTTGCCTTCACCACTGCATGGTGGCACAGCGGTTAGAATGCAGTACTGCAGGCTACTTCTGCTGATTGCTGGCTGGCTGCAGTTTGGCAGTTCAATCCTGACCGGCTCAAGGTTGACTCAGCCATCCATCCTTCCGAAGTTGGTAAAAATGAGGACCCAGATTGTTGGGGGCAATAGGCTGGCTCTGCAAACTGCTTAGAGAGGGCTGTAAAGCACTGTAAAGTGGTATATAAGTCTATGTGCTATTGCTATCTAGGTAAGGATTGAGAACAGAGGCAGGAGAAGCAGGAGAGGGACCGATCCAGTGGTGGGATTCAAATTTCTTTACTACCGGTTCTGTGGACATGGTTTGGTGGGCGTGGCATGGCTTGGTGGGTGTGGCATAGCTTGGTGGACGTGGCAGGGGAAGGTTACTGCAAAATCCCAATTTCCTCCCAATCAGCAGGGACTCAGGAGGCAGAGAATAGATGGGGGTGGGGCCAGTCAGAGATGGTATTTATCAGTTCTCCGAATTACTTAAAATTTCTGCTACTGGTTCTCCAGAACTGGTCAGAACCTGCTGAATACCACCTCTGGACCGATCATGGGGAAAATAAATTTCATCCTAGTGAATTTCTGCTGAATAAGGATGGGTAGATAGCACCAACTCAACATTAGGGGGGGATTCTATGATGGAGAGCTAATGAAATACATCCTGACACTTATAGTTAGTCCTCGAGTCATGACTGTAAATGG